AACATTTATAAATACATACACAGACACTCACACACCCAGTATTAGAAATGATTTAAAAAAAATCACACATTAGCTCAAAAAGATAATTAAGTTAATTTTTATTTTTCATGAAAAATGAACTTTCTAAAATATTATTAAATTTCATTTTTTAGCTCTGTTTTGAAGTGTTGATACCACTGAAGTAACATTTTTCTCCTTTGAATCTTNTGCGTGTTTTGTTCAAGGTTCGAAAGCTGCAGTCTACGAGACAATCGATCACTCCAAACACATATCTGTCCAAATGCCAATATTCTCCTCCCCCAATCCCCTACTCTCCTCTGGCTCCTCAGGTCAGAAATACCAGAAGCAAAAAGTAAGAAAAACCATGTTGCTATTTGTGGTTTCACTGCTCCCTCTTGCGGAAACAGCCTGAATTTGCATCATGAAAGTCATCCATTTTCCGCTGCATAATACAATAAAAAATTTGTTTCTTTGTAACTGAAACTATTAAATTATATTTAATCTGTAAAAATTCCAAATTAATATATTTTGCATTTATATATGCATTTGTCTAGACATATCTATTTATATCTATGTCATAGGTAGATAATGTAGCTACAGGTAAACCCATCNTGTACACAAAATAGTTATAGAAGAAATTATTAACTCAGGTGGCCATTCGTTACTAGCTCACTAACTAGATCTTTTTGAAGTTAACAGGAACTGAATCAGTAACTTGACTTCAAGGAGGATGGTCACCACGAGATGGTCATCAGCTCACAGCCGAGAAGTTCTCTGATGTTTATCTGCAATTTTATGATTATGTCTGCACGTCCCTACTTAGGTCACCATGAATCAGTGTCCCCACCACTTGTTCCTTGGCAAGTCTGGGAAAAGTGGAGGTGGTCTTTGAGACAGGAGCCCACCATTTCCCCAGGCTGCTGGCTTCCNCTTGAATTGTCTGGTTGACGTGGAACAACATAGGAGACAGACCCGATTTGCACAGGACACGCCATGTGGGAAAATGTAATTGGACCCCCACAGCCTTGATGGCTATGTAAGGAGGACTTATTAAATATAAGCAATTTAGGTGATATTTACATGAGGAACTAAGGTATGTATTCCTCTTAATAAAATATAAGCAAGCATGTTTTTCTTTTCACGTCAAGAAGACTCAAAAATTATTAAAGGTCTGAGAAACTTGAACA